ATAACAAGTGAATAAAAACAGATATTATAAAAAGATAAAAAGTTATTATTAGAATAAAAAAAGTATCACAAATTTTTTAAAAATGTAAAAAGATTTAAAATATACAAACCCCACAGAAAGAGCAGGATATCAATTACAGTGGAGCCATCTAAGAATGTCTCTCGTTCCCAAAGACCCCAGGCCTGATGACACAACCAGGTCTTGAGGGACTTCCTAAGTGACAGCAGGGAAGAGGTGAGCCTAACTTCAGGGGAGAGAATGTTCCACAAGGAGGGGGCCATGGCAGAAAAGGCCCGCCTCTTGGGACCCACCAAATGCAAATCCCTGGCTGATGGAATGCGTAGCATACCTTCTCTGCTGGATCTAATGGAGCAGGCTGATGTAATCAGGGAGAGGGGGCCTCTCAGATAACCCGGCCCCATGCCATGAGGGGCTTTAAAGGTCAAAACCAGCACCTTGAATTGGACCCGGAAGCAAACTGGCAGCCAATGCAGCTCAAGAAGCAGAGGTGTAATGTGTGCTCTTCTAGGAACACACATAACTACCTGTGCTGCCACATTCTGCACCAATTGAAGCTTTACTCAATCACAATGATAATTTTATCTCCTAAAATGCTGCAAAATTCTGTTATATCACGTGTGAATTCTGCCCACAGATGGTCAGCAATTGTCAGTGATTATAGTTTTGGCTGCTTATTTTCAAGACTGAGTAAAGTAATCCATTCATTCATGGCTGTTAGAGCTAATAGATTAGATGAAGGTTATGCCTTTAAATGTTATTCCTGTTGATTTATTTCTACTTGTTTAGCCTTATAGTATTTATAGCCATCGTTTTTTATATAGTAACGTTTATATCACACTTTTTTATACTGCACTATATTACTGTTTACATTGTTGTAATATTAACATAAATTAGAATTTTACATGTAGATTTTGGTGATATAGTGATTTTATATTGTTGTGTTAATAATTCTGATTTTTAGCTGTTTTTCCATAGTTTTTATAAATTAACATTTATATCATCCAATTTTATTGTACTATATTACACTGTAGTTTCTATTACCTTTATCTTAGTATTTTAGCTATATTGTGATTTATAGTTTGTTTAAGTAAGTCTAAATCTGTTATTTTTCCACAGCATGTAAACGAGACTGTTCATATAGAGATGGTTGTAAATAGTAATCATTATTTTATGCTGGTCAATGACCAAACTAAAGATTGACTAATACCAGTTCCATTCCAAGGAGAAAATACATTATTTGATACAAGCATAATTCACTCTCCACAACTTTTTTATGGTGTCCTGTCTGTTTCATCAGATATAAGGCCAATTGTATTTCTCATCAGAATCAGGAATTTTTCCACTTAGCTTGCAGTGGTTTTGAAAATAAAAAAATCTCCCTCTAAAATTCACAACTCAACCACCTAACAATTGATCAGAGTTAAGAAGACATCAGCACCTCACAATGTCTTGTACCATTATTGACTGTTCCAATATAAAGATACAAATATTGGGGTGATGAGTTGTAGATCCTGAACATCACTATATCCTGAACAAACTTACTCAAATCCTGACTGTTCATCTGTTTCTGACTGTAAACCTGGTAACTCTAGCTGTTGTTATATCAAACAAGGAGTAAATATGATTGTTTTCATTTTTTCTTTTTTTCAAATGTTATTAAGAATTTTGATTACAATAGTAAAAACTAATACTTAGAGAAAGAGAAGAGCATAGAAATAAAAAATAAAAGGTGCAGGAACAAAGAAAAAGAGGAAAAAGAAAAGAAAGAATATAATAATAATAAAAAAGAAATGTATAAAGAAGTTACTTCCAACCTTCATCACAAGAAGTATAGACAAATTTAGTAACCCTTCGCCCCCTATAAGGTTACAGACATCTCTTCATCCCATATCCCATCCCTTATCTATAAGCAAATCCATAGAACATCAACTTTTCAATCCTGGCATCAGCAAAAAGTCCATAAAGGGTTGCCAGAACTTTGCCAAAAAAAAAAAAAAGTCTTATTTTAACCTTTATCAAATAAACAAACTTTATATTCCTTCCTTTTATTTTAACAGTCTTAAATCCAATCAAATACTGTCACAGGATTTGATTCTCTTAAATTCTTCTTTAC